TTGAGGGCAGTAGATTACGCTGGACAGTATTTTACTTAGCACTCTGTCCAGTTCCATTTTAACTTGCTCTTCCTTAGAGGCCTATTAACTCAAACCCAGCAAGGATTTTATTACAAAAGGAAGGCATTCTACTCGTTGGTCATTTCTTCCACAAAACACACCTTCTCCTGCTGAGATATTAGAAAACAAAATTTGCCAAACAACATGAAAACAGTGCTGCATTGTAGAAAGAGTGTGGAGCAATAAGCGGACTGTCGCAAAGCGGCTCCAGATGCTCGCTCTGACTTGCCTGAACCAGAAGCTCGCTGAGAATCCTCAACTCTGGGTCCCTGGAAATAGGGACCATGTGACTTTCAGCGGCAGGTAGCACTGATATCCTCATAGCCCCTTTGCCCCACAACAACATCTCCGAGGTCCCAGGATGCCCAGGTTCTGGGCAGTTCACATTCCCAGGCAATTCTCATAAACAGCTACACCCACATGCAGACTGCTTGGTACTGAGGTAATCTCATTCAACATCGACAAGTTTGCTTTCAGGCTCACCCTTTGTAAAAGTCAGAGTGGGCCCAGTGGAATGCAAGTCCATGCTACTGGTCAGAAAATATCTTGGTCCTCGTGTTTCTTCTGTGGCAAAGATGAGAGGATGAGGGACCCTGGGCTTTTCTCCTCCCTGGCTTTGTAAGCTTCTGCCTTCCCAAAAAGGCTGATGCCCTCACTCATGCCATTCTCCAACCTGGTGCATGAAAGACAATGTCCCAGATGGCACCTTCCTTCGACAACCAAGAACGAGGACTTCTAGAGCCAAAAGCTGGGTTAAATATGTGCTCTGATGCTCATTCGTTACGGGAGCCTGCCCTTGGGTTCCTCGTCTATCAACTAGAAATAATACCCGTGCCACAGGCAGGAGCTGGGGTAAGGTACTGTGGGTACAGAGTGAGGGTCAGCACAGTAAAGAAACACAGTCAGTGGTAGCTACTACTGCTGGTGTAATTATGAACAGCAGGAGGATGAACAGACACCCCTGGAAACTTAGGAACATTATTTTTAAATCACATGTAGTGGAGAAAGTACACAGTTTGGTTTATTATAAAGAAACAAAATGTTTAAATCCGTGGAGCAGAAGATAACAATAAAGGACTGCTTGTTGGTTATGAAAATCAGGACGAAAATCACCAAGTTCAGTGCTCATCTTGATCTAGGACCATTCACGGCCCAACCCCTCTACTGCGCAGAGGATGAAATCCAGGTGTGCACGATGCTTACCAAGGACCAGCTCCCAAATCAGCCAGAACCAAGAATCAGCCCCAAATCATTCAGAACTTTCCCCAGGACCAGCCCCCAAATCATTCAGAACTTCCCCCAGGACCAGCCCCCAAATCATTCAGAACTTCTCCCAGAATCAGCTCCCAAATCACCAGAACATCCCCCAGGACCAGCCCCCAAATCACCAGAACTTTCCCCAGGACCAGCCCCCAAATCATTCAGAACTTCTCCCAGAATCAGCTCCCAAATCACCAGAACTTCCCCCAGGACCAGCCCCCAAATCATTCAGAACTTCTCCCAGGGTAGGGGATCTTTTGATCTCATGCAGTCCCTTCACAGTCCTCAGCATTTTACCCAGAAAAGCGTCAGTCACCCCTAAAGGCTAAGTTTTAAACACTATGAAACCAGAAAAGGTCACATACACGATCGTGTGCATGTGAAGGTGGGGAAGTGAGTGAGTGTGAATGCGCATGAGTGTGAGCATTCAAGAAGGCGTGAGTGTGCGAGAGAATCCCACCGACAAAACAGGCAACGAGGACCTGGCCTCTTTCTAACTGCGACGGCCTCAGTGGGGCTCAGAGGTTTCCCGCTGCATTCCTTAACCTCCCAGTGCAGCACACAGGCCTCTGTGAAGCCATAAGCAAAGAAAAGAAATAGAGGATCATGAGTTTAAACTGTTCAAAATAAATTGGTATTGGGTGTTAAGGGCTTAAATTCCAATACCGTGTTTGCGGTGTCTTAAGTTGAATTAAAACAAAATCCAACAACACAATGTTACAAGATGTTGCTGCCTAGAAACATAATGGAAAGCTGGATTAGAAGGTCATAAATTAAGGACTGGGCACATTGTAACTAATTAAATATATACAAAAGAAAAGCAGATTTGGTAATATCATTTCAGGCAATGTAGTATTTAAAGTCTCTTATTAAGTTAAAAGAGCATTGTATTATGTTAAATTGGTAAGCTAATAATAAAGATATGGCATGAATAAACTTTAATATACCAAATAAAGAAGCCCCAATATATATACATATATATATAACAAAAAACAGGCAGACATTTGGCTGGAGCTGATAAATTTTTAACTCACCATTATCAACATACAGCAGATACCATATTCAAAAATAAAACAAAATAAGAACTGAAAAAAATAAGTAATAAAATTGATGAGGTAGAACTAATAGAATATGCCAGTCTTTTTATCTTAAAAGTAGAAATCTCATCGTCTTTCATACCTTTCGTCCATATACAATCACCAACTGTGAAAACAAAATTATCAGCCTATTTCCAGAAATTGTTAAGACAAAAAGCTGATAAAAATATTTACCCAAACGAAGCATTAGAATACCAAATGATAGGGATGTGAACGATGACTTAACTGTTTCTTGCACGTTTTACTAGGCCCTGTAATTCGGATAGTTTGTGTTTTAACTTTTACAACCTTCTGGTCTGCAATAATAATTTTATAGTTTGCTGTGGAACTGCACCAAATCCATAAAATCTGCAAAAGTCCTCAAAATTCCACATATGTGCGTTGTCATTGGCCCCAATAATTGTGCTCCGAGTTTTGCACTAAATTCTTCCACAAATTAGAAATGAAAACACCATGTGCTACAGAGAAATGAATGAAAAGCACCTTCCAGGAGACGGCTGAGCTAACACTCAGCACCTTCCGAAATTCTGCACTTAAGTCTTTTGTAAACAGCCCTGCCTTTCAGTTCCTCAGTCAACACATTAAATACACATTCTTTTCAGAAATTATTGTCTATATAGCTTATGAATCTAAAACCAGAACATTTCACCGGGAGGGTGGGGATCTTTTCCATGTTTGCTGTGAATGGCAAAACCATACAGCTCGATGGGACCACAGATGCACAAATCTAGGTGGACAGCAGGGATGGCAGCCGCCCTCAGTGTGTGGCTGTTAACTTGTCCCGGAAAGCAAACTCAGGGGTTAACAGCTGTTGATGTTTCCTCTGTTTCTCTCTCTTCTTTTGTTGCTGACATTTGAAACATGTATCTCGCCACTGCTGACACCACCCCCCTCACCCCACCGATAAGAGTCCGTTCATTGCACAGACCGAGAGAGAGAGATCGTGTCACCGGTTTCTTCTCTATCCAGATGTGATTTTTGCAGAGTAGCAGAGCACAGGAAGCTGGCTTCCCCATAAAGGCTACTCTGCAGACTATTATCTTCCAGCACACGTGAGGGATAGCATACGGTATGAGAGTGCGCGTTCCAATGAGACAAATCAAAGACACCCGTGGTTCATAGGCTTCCCTAGGAGCAAAGTATTGCCCTCTAGGACACAAAGGAGTTGATTTAAGAAACCCTTCAGAAAACTGGTATTGCTTTTATTTTCACTAAAAAATAAATATCAAAGTAAATACAAAAATCAGTTCTCCTGATTGGTGTGTGAACCTGCATGAAGTCAAGCCTGCACTCTGTGGCCACCACAAATTCAAGACAAGCAGGGCAACAACAAATTTCACCCTCCCACTCCCAGGTTTCTGTCAAATCAAGCCCCAAAGGTTAGGGACAGAGAGCAAAATATCCTAGATTCCTTTAACTCATTTTTTTTTTTGAGACGGAGTCTCCCTCTGTCGCCCAGGCTGGAGTGCAGTGACATGATCTCGGCTCACTGCAAGCTCCACCTCCCGGGTTCAAGTGATTCTCCTGCCTCAGCCTCCCACAAAAAGCTAGGTTTACAGGCATACACGATCTCATCTGGTTGCTTTTTTTTTTTGTATTGGTTATTTATTTATTTATTTATTTATTTGTTTTTGAGACGGAGTCTCGCTCTGTCGCCCAGGCTGGAGTGGAGTGACTGGATCTCAGCTCACTGCAAGCTCCGCCTCCCGGGTTCACGCCATTCTCCTGCCTCAGCCTCCTGAGTAGCTGGGACTACAGGTGCCCGCCACCACGCCCGGCTAGTTTGTTATATTTTTAGTAGAGACGGGGTTTCACCGTGTTAGCCAGGATGGTCTCCATCTCCTGCCTTGTGATCCGCCCGCCTTGGCCTCCCAAAGGGCTGAGATTACAGGCGGGAGCCACTGTGTCCAGCCCCTTTAACTCATTTTGAAATGATTCCTGCATAACATATTCACATAAATATTTTCATAACCTAAGAACTTTCCATTTATCTAGTTTCCTTAATTAACTTGCGAGAAAAATTCTTATCAGTGGATTTGTTTTAATGTTCAAGATATATAAACCAATGTGCAGCTAGATACAAAATAACAATTTATGCTTCTTAGAAACTGATCTCTGCTCAGAGCCCTGGAAAGCAAGTCTCAGTGGAAAGCCAAGTGGGCCGCAGACAGCAGACACAGTTCCTCAGCCTGGTCAGTTGCTCCTGAGATGGTGGGTGAGTCAGAACGTGTGTCTCTATTTGTCAAGTGGTGGTTAAGCCAGGCATTATCTGAGGTGCCTCACAGAGTTAATATTCTTTGCTTTGAACTTGCCGCCAAATAGTTCATAGGACAGTGTTTATTCTCAGCCAATGAGTAGAAATGTAGCCCAAAGACCCACAACATGGGGCAGAGACCAGGGCAGGGGACCAGGGCGGGGGACCAGGGCGGGGGACCAGGGCGGGGACCAGGGCAGGGACCAGGGCAGGGACCAAGTCAGGGGACCAGGGCAGGGGACCAGGGCAGGGACCAGGGCAGGGAACCAGGGCGGGAACCAGGGCGGGGACCAGGGCAGGGACCAGGGCAGGGACAAGGGCAGGAACCAGGGAGATGACAAGGGCAGGGGACCAGGGCAGGGGAGCAGGGCAGGGAACCAGGGCAGGGACTAGGGCAAGGAACCAGGGCAGGGACTAGGGCAGGGAACCTGCTCTCCCTTGCTGATGGTCTTCACCGTCCTCCCCTCCTTCCTCCCACGTGTCGGGATCAGTGAGGGACTGGAGGCACCTTTCAGAAAATGTATTCAGGATCTCCTTCTCCTCTCCTTCAGAAGACAAAAAGCTTGATGTTGCCTTGTATTGCTTCTGGTATTTGAACACGTATGTTGTGATGACGAGGCTCCGTGCGCAGAAGCAGAACCCACTACATCCAATGTCACGCTGCTGTGCTGGCCTCCAAGTCCCTCACCTTGGACAGAGGCTGTTAACGTGACAAGGTGATTTATTCGCCAGTGAACACATCTCCCATATCGCAGATCAGCGAGTGGAGCGTGCTGCAAAAGGTGCGGTGGCCTCAGACCCCCGAGATATCCTAGAGACGTGAAGGCTGGGCTCACCTGGCCTGTTGTGGCTGTGGTGAAGGTAAGGGAGGCAGGGAGGCTGCACCTGCCCCTGGCACAACCTGCTACACCACAAGCACCCAGAGCTGCTGCTGGCATTGTCTTGCTTTGCTCTGAATCTTAGTTCTTAAGCTTAGCCCCAGAGCACCAGGAAAGTTGCAGCCTGTGAGAAAAAGGCAAGATGTAAATTCTATTTCAGGAATTTGACCTTAAAGACAATTATGCTTATTTGTGTAGCCCAAGAGAGGAGCGCATTGAACACAAGTCAGGTCTCAGGGCTCATGTGGCCTCAGATAGTAATTCTTACCTCACTGCTGTTTCAGGCAGCCAGTTCTTACATTTTCATCCATTAGTAGGAAGAGTGTCTCATCTTTTATATAAAAGGTTGGGTTGCAACACACAGTCAGCCAGGCCTTTCCCCAAGAGCTGTGAGATGGTGCTCTAGGGGCACTGAGCCTCGGTAACCTGCCTGAGAGCCTCGTGCCCTTCAGTCCTGAAAAATCACCAGCTCTGCAAATCCCAACCCAAACAGGAAACTCTGCCCCAAAGCAGCGCAGACGTAACTCCTGATACATACGCGCAACCTATCTCCACATTATTATCATTATTTAATTTTTTGTAATAAAGCCTTGTTTTGACTTACAGCTCCCAGATGCATCCTTTCAAGTTAATATAATTCTAGCTTTATTGCAGTTCAGATGAACATACTTTTTTAAAGCTAAAATAATATAAGTTGCATCACGTACTAACCCCATTCTTAGGGCTGACATGAGTACTCAGGTTTCTGTTTTGTGCTACAACTTCATACATCCCTAGTCCATGCAAACACTTCAAACCACCATTTTCTAGAGATAAATGCACCACTCTATGGCGATGAGGTTCTGCATGATTTCTCTCTTATTCTTTATGCTTTTCTGTACTTTCCCAGTTTTCTAAAACATTAAGAAAATTTGTTGTTAAAATTGTAAAAACCTTTTGAAAGAACATGCATGTAAAAAGAAAATTATAAATGAGATATCTGTAATTACGTGGAACATTGCGACACGGAAGATGGTAGGCCCAGCTGGCCCTGTGTGTCTATGTTGTACGTTCGAATCACTCACAAGGTACCCAGCACGTGGTAAGTGCTCTGAGGCCTCTCAGGCAGCAGCCAAGTAAGAACGTTTAATTCACTAATTACGGTAGGAAAAGCTGAATTACAGAACAAGTGATGATCTGCCTGAGATGCTCATGTAACAACCTGGAACATTCCTGGGGAAAGCTGGGCCTGACTCCCACCATTCTGCTCTCTCCACACGCGGCTCCAAGACCTTCTGCAGACCGTTAGAGAGTGCGGAAGTGCGGAGTGTGAAGCCACACTGAAAATGCCTTAGCCTCCCCAACAGTTTTGCTTGTTTTTGCTTCTAAATAAACTGAAGACTGACTTCAACATAATCATGCAACCAATTGAAAGACTTTTAAAAAGTTGTTTACAAAAAGAGTTGTTACTTTTGTTCCTCAAGACACCAAACATGAGCCTAACTAACATTTTCATTGAATTGGTGATTGGCTTGACTTGTTTCCAAATTGACTTTACTTGTCCTTTGGAATCACATAGACACAACCTTAATCTAAAAGTCAGTAGCAGCTAAATATAAGAGTATTGACTAAGCTGCACAGAAAACCAAAAACTTGACATCCTGATGGAAAAGCTGCAATCCATTTTATAAGAAGAGCTAACATTTAAGGAGCACTTAGTATATACCAGGTGGTTTTCTTTCTTTTTTTTTTTTTTGAGACGGCGTCTCACCCTGTCGCCCAGGCTGGAATGAGTGGCGCGATCTCGGCTCACTGCAAGCTCCGCCTCCCGGGTTCACGCCCTTCTCCTGCCTCAGCCTCCCAAGTAGCTGGCACTACAGGTGCCCACCGCCACCACGCCCGGCTAATTTTTTGCATTTTTAGTAGAGATGGGGTTTCACCGTGTTAGCCAGGATGGTCTCGATCTCCTGACCTCGTGATCCACCCACCTCGGCCTCCCAAAGTGCTGGGATTACAGGCGTGAGCCACCGCGCCCGGCCACCAGGTTGTTTTCTAAGCACCATACCGGTATTAACTTAATTCCTGTAATGACCCTAAGAAGAAGGCTATATTATTATCCTAATTTTAAAAAGGAATAAACTGAGATACCGAGCCATTGAATAACAGTGAGTAAGTAAAGAAGCAAAGGATTGATCAGAGGTAATCTCAGCCTGGATCCTCTTACCCACTGAGCTAGGACTGCATTCTCACCCGCAGATGGTGGTGTGGGCAGGGCTACATAGTGGAGTGATCCAGACCCTGGGCCTGGTGTTACGCACACTCAGGTTTTCATGCTCAGTTTGCCACTTACTAGCTGAGTATACTTAGGCAAAGTACTTTATTAAGTAAATCTCTTTGCCTCAGTTTTCTTAGTCTAGTCCCTAACTTACATGATTGTCATGAGACTTAAATTAGAGAATGTTTGCAAGTTGGTTAGCTAGTGTCTTAACACAATAAGGCTCCTGTAAATGGTACTTACTAGGATTATATCAACTTTCTAACATGAATTTTGTCCTCCACAAATAGTAAGATGCATTTAGAATGTTTGCAGTCAAAGGAGAAATTTACAAGGAAGAAGGCAGACTGCCTTATTTCCGAACTGAACAGGACTCAGAAGCCAAAGTTTAGCTGTGTTTAGAGAGTTTTGCATATCTCAAGCAAGTAGCACTTTCATCTAGTTATTCTTTTATTCAAGATCATGGGAAACACCCATTTTGGAGTGCTTTAAAACTCTTTTATGCCAAGAAAATGCAGATACACAAACAACACACTATGTGTAATCCTTGCCTCAAGAGATCTGTGAACAAAATGAAGCAACAAAGAGCTGGCACGGAGTGCTGTGCTGGCCCCGTTCATTTCCCCATTCATCTCCACACTGTTCTTGGAGCTGGGAGTGGAAAGGAGCAGGTAATTTCTTCCATGGGAACAGCCAAAGCATATTATTCTGGTGAAAGTACTTAAATACACAGAATAGAGACAGAACATGAAAAAGAGCAAAGTGCTTTAAGGAAAAAAGTTCTCTCCTAGGAGAAAAGAATCATCTAGTTTTGTTTTATACCCGTAGAACAGAGATTAATGCTGACATCTAGATGTCTAGCACGGATCCCAATATGTAACAGTTAAGAAAGTCAGTTAACATTTCCTAGATGACTGATGGAAAAACACCTAAAAACTTTCTACCCAACAACCAAAACCATCTTCCAGGAAAGACATCTATTTGCCTTGATTCATTCCAGAACATATGGACCATCCAACTGTAGCCACAAAGAGGGAGTCTGTTTACGGAAAACTATTGCTAATATTTTCAAACCATTTGCTACATTACTATATTTTAAAAGCTTAAAATTTCACAGAAAAAAATAATTTTGCCTTTTGGAATTACTACATTTTGGAATTACAAAATTTTGCCGAAAAATTCTTAAGGCAGCTGAGTCTGCAGGGTTGAAAGACCAGCGGAGATGATGGTTACAAAGTATGCCAGATGGCTTTTGTCCCATAACACACCATCCTAAACTTGGTGGTTGTGATGGTCAATTTTGTGCCAACTTGGCTAAGCCATGAACCCAGATATTAGGTCAAACACCCAGGGTAAATATTGCTGTGAAGGTATTTGTTAGATGAGATTAACATTGAAATCAGTAGATATTTTGTAAAGAGGGTTACCCTCCATAATGAATGGACTTCACCTAAATGGTTGAAGGCCTTCAGAGAAAGCAAGACCGAGATTCCTGAGGGAAAGGGAATCCCGCCTCCAGACGGTCTCTGGGCTCCAGATTCAGCATCATCTCTCTTTCTGACTCTCCAGCCTGCCAGTCCCCACAATCGTGTGGGCCAGTTCATTATAGTACATCCCTCCCTGTCATGTATCGTATCTTACTTCTTTCTCGGGAGAACCCCGACAACCGTAATGGCTTATACAACAACCTTTATTTCACTTACAATTTCTCAGCTGGCAATTTGAGCTGTCTTCATTGGGGTAGGTCTGATCTTCTGGGCCAGACTTAGCTGATCTGGACTGGGCTCATCCGCGCATCTGTAACTGTCATTTGTTAATCAAACATTTAAACAATTTCCAAAAATGTGAAACAATTTCCCTTTTCCCACCAATTTTTGGGGGTTTTGGAATATATAACTATTTTTCATAAAATATGTTATTAATATTAAAATATGTTGGTCTTAATATTATTTTTAAATGAGTTCATAAGTATTTTTTTACACTTCCCATTTTGATGTTTAATAAAGTAAATGTAGATAGATATGACCCATGTGAACAAAAGCTCTTAAGCGTCCTTAATAATTTGAGCTGTGTAAAGGGGTCCTAAGAATGAAAAATTTGTGAATCACTGCTCAATACATGTCCCTGTCATCTGGAAGCAGCTAGTGTGGGGTCCGGCCTAAATCTCCACGGCGCGAGGAAAGCCACGGCCATCCGGACCTCCTTTGCAGTGATCAGTGCCATCCATTACCTAAAACGTATTGAGGGTTTGCTATGTGCCAGAAGGGCGAGGTTTGCTGTGTAGGCAGGAGCCAGGTCACAGGAAGATTTTCAAACTTCACTAGGGTTTCAGCTTCACTTAGAAAGAAAAAAAAAAGTGACTAAAGTATTTTAACGAAGAGAATAATGTGGCTCGATTTATATTTTAGGAAGATTATTATGAGGCTGTGTCTTTGATGGAATGAAGCCAATAAGACTGCAGCCAAGAAGATCATTTGAAGCTTTTAGCTGAAACCCAGGTGAGAAGAGGGTAAGGCCTCCTAAATTAAGGCAGGAACAGAAGGAAAGGAAGAAGAGCTTCCAGGAGTGATGAATGAGACAGATCGATACCACTGGGTGACTAAATGGGCACAAAATGAACAGCATTTCCTTTCTCTGAAGGCTATTTCCCTCGAATTATTGGCATTATCTGAAAGATATAAACAGGTATTTTTCAAAGGAAGATATATTAATAATCAATAAACATATTAAAATGTGTTCAGAAATCACTAGAATAAAAAAATGCAAATGTAAGCATTTTTTACAAAAGTAATAAACTGTCTTTAACCAAATGGCAATTTTTTTTCTTTAGCAACATGTTTTCAAGGATAGGAAAAGTGACATGCAAGCATGTTTGACAGCAAACTGAATCAGTACAACCGTTCTGAAAGGCACTTTAGAAGAATGTTTCAGGACTCTTCTAGGAACTGATCTTAAGGGAACACTGTTCATGTCATTTACCACGTTCTTACATGCTATCTAACGGGCTTCTCCATGTTTACTGTAAGTCTCACCTACTAGAATATAAATACTGCAAGAACAAAGATGGAATCCCAAGCACATAGAAGACAGTACAACACATTGTAAGTGCTTCCTAACCCCTTCTTAAATAGATAAAAGATGTCCACCAGGATTTACTTAACAAGAGTGGTCACTATAGCATTGCTTACAATGGCTAAACTGGATAAATCTAAACGTTCATCAACGGGAAACTGGTTAACAAAATAACAATGCCACCGCCATATGACGCAAAATCACATAACCATTAGAAAGCAAGTCATTAAGGATGTTTAAGGCTATGAGAAAACATTCCCAATGTGTTAATAGGGTAGATAATAATTTAAAAGTGCATATAGAGTAACATATTAACTGTATTCAGAATCACGAATAACACCAAAATGTTAACCATGATTACCCTCTGCCTACTGTGTTTATAGTCATTTTTATTTTCCTTTCTATGCTTTCCGTATTTTCTACAACCAGGAAAATAAAATTTTGAACCATCCCCATATGCCACAAACCTCTCTGAGTATATTTTATTACACAGAATAGTGTAATAATAATGTTTACAATAATAACATACAGTTATCTTTAAAATATTGCATTGTATTCAATATCCTCCATTTATAAAGAAGGAAAATCTGTGTGGTGGAAACATGGGTTTGATTAGTCTCTATTTTTCTGTGTTCTTGTTTCTAAATTCAGGAAGTGGGCAGTGAACTTTTTAATGCTTTCCATCCTAGCAAGTTAAAATTTTAAAATGTTGAAGTTCTCTAAAGGTAACCTTCAATTACTCGTAAAAGTCATGTTTATGAAATACCTCGGTCTCCAATATTGCTGGTTAAATGAAACATTATTGCACATATTACAGAGGAAAAGGTATTTATTTGACCTTTGGCAGTTTCAACACTGCAATTTAATATTGTATTTCACATACCATTCCAGCTGATCATATATTTTTTAAAAGTCGCAGAATTTTGAAAAATCTATCCTGTATTAGTATCCATTTGTTGCATCAATTAGCATCAATGCATTATATGCAATACCTAAAAGTTTTGTAAATATTTTAATAGTCTTACAACAGGGTTCCAAAATTCAGTATGAAAGAAAGAGGCTGGGGAGTGTTCATGGCTGGCTCAGGCTTGCATAAGGGAGCAGGACCACACCGACACAGCCAATGAAAGAAACCGCAGTGCCAAAACCACAGGGCAGGCTCAGAACGGTTTGACTGCATGCTGAACTGTGTGCTTCCTCATCAACACACTCTGCTGACTAGCTTTTTGTTAACTTCGTGAGAAGTGATGACATTTAATCCTACCACTTAGAGGAAGAGAAACCATTTCTACCCATTGATCTTTAAGTCGTCATGAAGGAAAGTGAACTTCAGGGCTTCCTTCTTGCCTTCATCATGGCTCTCATCACACAGATGCACCTGTGTGAGATGTCTTGAGCCGCAGAGCCCAAGACATGCTCAGAATTCATGCTCAGCATTCAGCCAGAAGCTGATATTATAAATGGCAGTAAACCCCAGTCGTTTGATACAGTTGTTAAATTCAGATTTTGACCATCTGGTTCTTTTATTTTACCAGTCTGCGTGTGCTTAACATATTATTCTACTATTAAATTGAAGGAATACCAGGCTCACAATAAATAATCCAAATAAATGTTGCCATAATGTGTATATTTGGCTCTGTCTGCTGAGCATAGTACTTTGGCCCCGCTGACGCATCATCCAGGCATGTTTTTTTAATGTATTTTCTTCCCGTTTTCCCAGGCATCATGTTGTTCGCTAGCTCAAGGTGCATATCTTATTTTTTTGGTAAGCTAATTACAGAGAACCAGTCTTAACTCCTATTTCTGTATGTATGATGACCTACACAGGCAGATTGAAAATAAGGGAAGATATGGAATACCATGTTTTTAAAGCTTTCAAAAATGCATTGATGATCTGGCAAGAAAGTAAGAAATATTAAGAATTATGAATCTAAGTCAAGCCAGAAACCTGAAAGGTAAGCAGAGCACTAAAACCTACTTGTCATCATTGGGCATGTGCGAACCTAAGGAATTTCAGCAACAACTTTTGTGGTCTGATGGGTGGGTGGGGAGAAACAAAGACAAAAGCTCTGGCCAACCCATTATCCCACCAAGCTCTTCAAAAAGTGGGAAGCCTGAGGTTGAAGCAAAGATTAATCATCGCTTTCTTTCTTTTTAAAAAAAAGTTTAGAGTCAGGGTCACCCTGTTGCCCAGGCTGGAGTGCAGTGGTGCGATCACATCTCATTGCAGCCTCAAACTCCTGGGATCAAGCGATCCTCCTGCCTCAGCCTCCTGAGTAGCTGGGACTACAGGCGCCCACCACGCCTGCCTATTTTTGTGTTTAGACGAGGGTCCTCAAACTCCTGGCCTCAAGCAATTCTTCGATCTTAGCCCCCTGAATAGCTGGCATTACAGGCATGAGCCACCAGGCCCAGCCCTCGGGGGCGGGGAGTACCTACATTTGCTATTTAGGACATTACAGAGGCCAAATGAAAGGAGACATCTCAGCTTTGCCCCCAGGAAGCTAGGGCAGAGGCTTGGCCAATCAGAGCTCTAGCCAGCTCTAGGATCTTGGCCAGTCAGAGCTCTGGCCAGCTCTAGGATCTTGAGAGAGCGATGCCAAGCTCTGAGGAAAGCAGCGACTGCGTCAAGTCCATGCAGCAGTGGAGATAAAGCACAGCAGGATCAGGGCAGTGATTGTCTACTAGCAGCAGTGCTAACCATGTGTTCTCAGCTGCCTAATTTCACTTAGTCTCCACACGTTTTTGAGTATGGATCTCCAGATGCGTGATTCTTCCAAATATACTTCTAATAAATATTGCTTCTTCTGAATTTCCTACTTAAATTAATCAGACTTTATTTCTTTTGTTTGCAACTGAGTGCCTCGCTGATATAATCTTCCCCCAAACTCAGAAATCTTCCATAATCAAGCCAAAGAATTCCATAAGGGAGATGTCACCCAGGGAAGCTTAAATCTAAATAAAAGATAATAATCTGGAAGAAAGCTTTCTCAGATACAGTTGTTATGCACCGGGGACCTATCCAGGGTCCTGACCTTCCTTATAACTCATGGTCTCGAAAGCCTTGTGCTCCTCCACCTCCTGTCACGTATCTTTTTAAACCCTCACCCACACGACTGTGACTCATGACCACTGCAATTACCCGTCTTAAACCTTCGTGGTCCACTCATACCCTGAGTAATTCACACCAGGAAGAATTATCATGCTAATTTTTCAAATCATAAAACCAAAATCAGTTTAGTGGATTGACAGTTCACAATGAAGAATGCATCCTAGGAGCTCACAATTAACTTTGTGAAACTGGTAATTTGCTGCACTTTTTTTGTCATAGTAGTATCTTCATTCTTTTTAAAAATAAATACGTATTACGCACCTACAGTGACCCCAGCACGTTGCTAGGTGCTCTAATTGGCCGGAAGAAGTGGTCCTTGCATCAGGCGGTCCTATAGTAGAACAAAGATCTTAATTTGAGATCTAATTTATCCAGTTAATATGTGTGAATTCAGATAACCCTCTTAATGCTTTAAGGCTCAGCTTCCTCATCTATAAATTGGGGTTCTACTCATCTTCCCTGTCTGTCTAAGGGTTGCTGTAAAGATCAAATAATGATCGTTGTCAGTAAAATCATAAAATGTTCTTCCAGGCACTTGGAAGGAAGAAACTTAAGATTACTCTTGAATAACTAGATTGTGAAATCAAGACATAAAGAATCAGAACCAAGCTAGGTAATGTCTCCTTCAGAAAACAGAATGAATTACACACAGATCAGCAAAAATGAACAATAATCTCATTAATCACATTAAAAGACCTAATAATTGGATGCGCCAAAAGTAAAATGGATTGTCAAAAAGTAAAAATAAAAAAGTCAGAAATGCAAACATTGGGAAGAATTCTAGAGAACTTCAGCTGAATGGCTTCAAAAGAATGGTTATCTTAGTATAAAGCCATCTGCATTAGAGATGAAAACTTAGTGGTTTTTAGCCTTATCTTTGCAAAGCAATCACCTAGAAATTTTTAGACTTTTAAAGCAGTTCTGTCTACAGGGTGACGGCCAATGTGAGCATTGTGGTTCACATTGGAAAATCTGTAATTTAAAATTAGTTTTGTAAGCTCAGCTTCTTTGAGCCCAAGACTGAGAATGATTTTTTAACAAAATCAGATTTCTGAGCCTACGAGATTGAGAGGAAGACTTACGAAAGGATGCCAACACTCTAACATTTCAGGGTCAACTAATTCCTTATGTGGCAACTCTTTTCTTTTGCATACTGCACCTAAACTTGACTTTTTTTTTTTTTTTTTTTTTTTTTTTGAGATAGGGTCTCACTCTGTTATCCAGGCTGGAGAGCAGTGGGGTGGGGCGATCACAGTTCACTGCAGCCTTGATCTCCCAGGCTCAAGTGATCAGCCCATCTCAGCCTCCTGAGTAGCTTGGACAGTAGCTGAGCTTGACTTTATTTAGAGTAGATAATATTTGGATAAAAGGAGAACATGATAAGGGCAAAGTGATGTCATTGGTAAGCAAATGGAGACAAGAATCAGCTCAATGTGTACAAGCTTCAAAGAACAGACAAGGTTTGGCTTTTGTAAAGGAGTCAAAATGCTGGAACTAGAAAGTCAGGGTGAGATCAAGTTCTGGAGGACCCTAAACAGCAAGAGAAGGTGCCTGAAGTTAATTCAGTGGGTAACAAAAGTAACTGAAAGTTTTAAGCAAAGAATGTCATAATGTAATGCATCTGGAGAGATTACTAATCTGGCATTGATGTGCAGGAGATGAGAATAACTCAAGGGCAAAAGGCCAGTGAAGATATTACTGGAAAAAATCCAGCTGCAAACTTACTTAGGATTTGACTGCGTGTGTTTGTTATTTCTGACCAGTGTCCCATTTTTCCTACGGGAAGAATGCATTTCTTTATGTCGACACTGCTTCTTCTCACTCTCCAACTGCATCTCCAACCCCATAACTGGCTTCTGCTCATTGGTCAAAGATTAGACTTATGATCTCCACCAATGCCACCAAAGTCCTCCAGTGAGATTTTTCCATTGATTCCTATCTAAAAGTGAAGCCAGTCACCTTCTAGTCGTACTTGAATGGTGCAGCTTAATTGTATGGAAAACTTTTTCCAATACTATTGCAAAATGCAAGTCGCCCACTTCAGGAGCTGTTGTTGCTCCTCTAGCTGCTTTGTTCTGCACATCATCCTACAATTTCCTTCTCTGCTCCTCATCCCAATCCAAGGACTCCCAATTATTTCCAATTCTTAACCAGCAGGTCACAACTTGCAACTGTTTATCCACGCTCATTTGAGACATTTTAGTTCAAAACATTCTTTTCAATTTATTTTTTTTTTCAGATGGAGTCTTGCCCTATCACCCAGGCTGGAGTTCAATGGCATGATCTCGGCTCACTGCAACCTCCGCCTCCTGGGTTCAAGTGATTCTCCTGCCTCAGCCTCCTGAGTAGCTGGGACTACAGCCTCCCACCACCATGCCCAGCTAATTTTTGTATTTTTGGTAGAGACAGGGTTTCACCGTGTTGGCCAGGTTGGTCTCAAACTCCTGAGCTTGTGATCTACCTGCCTCAGCCTCCCAAAGTGCTGGAATTACAAGCATGAGCCACCATGCCTGGCCTGTTTTTCAATTTTAATTAAGTCTGATACAAATTAATATTTTATTCTAAAATTTCATCAGTGGCAAAATAGTCTAATTACTATACCAAAGGAAAGTGATGAATTAGAATAAGCTTGTTATTAATGCCTTCAAATTCCTTCCTTTTAATTTTCATATTTCTTACTTATTCCCTGCCGCACCTGCAGTCACAGCCATCTGCCTTAATATTTACTTTATGTAATAATAGAAAGCTGTTTCAGCTACTGGGGAGGCAGAGGCCAGGAGATTGCTCGAGCCCAGGAGTTTGAGACTGCAGTGAGCTACAAACACACCACTGCATTCCGACCTGGGCGACAGAGCAAGACTCTGTCTCTAAAAAGAATAATAAATAAATAAATGAATAAATAAATAAATAAATAAATAAATGTGAGAAAGTTGTTTTAGAAAACTTTTCTCTCCAACTACATTTGGAGAAGTACGTGCATAGAGGTATTCCCAGGACTTCAGTATTCTCAATGCCAGCATTCTTCCCAGGCAATTCCTGAGTGTGTGACAAGTTATAATGAGGAAGGAATCTATTCACCACCTAGATTAGTGGCCCCCAAATACTTGGATCTCAGGACCCCACTAGGCTCAGAAAGTATCCTGGACTTCAGAAAGTTTTGTTGATTTGATTTATATTTATACTTATTAATATTTATCATAAAAAAACTACAAACAATTTAAAAATACTTAGTGATTTATTTTAAAATAGTAATAATAAACCTATTATTAATAGGTTTATTAACTGTTAATAATAAACCTAATAATAAAAAAATTAAATAATATTTTTATTTAAAATCTTTTTTTTTTTTCAGACGGCGTTTTGCTCTTATTGCCCAGGTTGGAGTGCAATGGCCCAATCTCGGCTCACGGCAACCTCCGCCTCCCGGGTTCAGGCGATTCTCCTGCCTCAGCCTCCCGAGTAGCTGGGACTACAGGCACGTGCCACCACGCCTGGCTAATTTTTGTATTTTTAGTAGTAGCCAGTCTCCAAATGTGATCTGCAGAATTAGATCACATTTGGAGACTAGTTAACCTACAATATGTGTAGACAACACAATCCCAAATTCTAAAGTAGATACAACTTTCTCATTTATTTCTATTCATTTCTTTTGCTCTTAAAACGCCTAGTGCCTGGGTCTTCGTTCTCCCTTCCAGTTGCACAGAACCCTTTCCCCACCGTGACACCAGTGCAGGGCTGACCTGTCCATAGTGCCACTTGTTCTCAGTGTGCTAATTTCTGTAAGTCAAAATAGATCCATTTTCTGATGGTCCCCTGAGGATCCAAATAAGTAACATGCTAGTTTAATGAACTTTGCTGTTAATTGGTGATAAGCATTTAATGGCTTGTCCATTCTTCATACAGTATTTAAGCAAATCTTCAGAGTCTTCACCCAGATAAATTACTTATATGTAAACATACCCAGTGAGAGGACTTCCATGTTACTTTCCTCAGATGACATCACCTCTTCTCTCTTCGCCGAGTCCTGACCCTATGCATGGGTGTGCAATGAATATCGTCATGTATAATACACATAAGACATTTGAATAAATGCTTAGATTATTTTGGATTCCTTAGTAAATGCCACTTTTGATCATGAAAAGTAGACAGAACCTAGACAAAAAAAAAAAAAAAAAAGATACTGGCAGAAAAACCAAACAGCAACAATGCTAAAAACTCAGATGTACTGACATCTGAGTAACAATGATCGCCTCAGTTCCTTAAAACCTCAATACAGGCTTAACTTTTTTTTTTTTCTTGAGACATAGTTTTGCTTTGTTGTCCATGCTGGGGTGCAGTGGTGTGATCTTGGCTCACTGCAACCTCCACCTCCGGAGTTCAAGCAATTCTCGTGCCTCAGCCTCCTGAGCAGCTGGGATTACAGGCACTCACCACCACGCCCAGCTGATTTTTTGTATTTTAGTAGAGACGGGGTTTCACCATCTTGCCCAGGCTGGTCTCGAACTCCTGAGCTCAGGCAATCCGCCTGTCTTGACCTCCCAGAGTGTTAGGATTACAGGCATAAGCCACCACGCCTGGCCAACTGTTTTTAACAATCGAAAATTGATAGCATTTTTTGGCTGGGCACAGTGGCTCACACCTGCAATCACAGCACTTTGGGAGGCTGAGGCGGGCAGATCCCTTGAGCTCAGGAGTTCAAGACCAGCCTGGACAACACAGCGAGCCCCCATCTCAAAAAATAAAATTAAAGCATTTAAAAAATTATTTACCATATAAGAGCTCTTAAAATTATAAGCAGATTCTGGGTATTGGTTGTGAGAACATACAATTTTAGCATCTTGACCATCCAAAAAGAGCAGAAAACGGATCTGGGCTGACTTCACTGAGTCGCTTGGAACTCATAGAAAGATGACATGGAGCTACTGAGTTACGGTGTTAATGAGCATCACTTTCCACAGTGCCTCTAGACAATAAGGCCAGATTCTCGGGGTGCAGGATGGGGAACTGATGCCTCCAGTTGTCCTGCGTTTCCCGAGGATACAATGCTTAAGAACTGCCACAAACTGCGCCTCACAGACTGGAGTAGCTAAGAAAAGCTCAGAAGATGTTATATCACTTTTTTTTTTTGAAAAAACACAAACCAATCTATTTAGAAAAATATTTCTATTATATGGGAACCAAAATATTTTTTTTTCTAAAGCACCAAATGTACAGCATCCGCTCAAGGGGAACAAAAGGTCTCCCAAACTCTCCAGCCCCACACTGGGGCTTGGCTGTCCTGTAACTTGATCCATTTATAACTTCAGGCTCTTTCCACAAGTTGTCCTCTAATTCTATAAAATCCAGTCGTACAGCCAGAGGAAAACTCAGAACAGGCACACACATTTTTGTACTTTGGTTACTGAAAGAGATTTTGTCTTGTTAATCTTGAAGGATTGGCAGAGCAATTTTATCGCATTTTCTGAAAAAAATCCATACAGATGTAAGGTCGCATTCTGTATTTAATTGAAGTAACCTTTTGTACAATCCAGTTTTAATGAAGTGCAGTGAAGTCAAACTCCGTGGGGGCCATTAATCTGAAACACTCCATTTAAGAACTACAAGGGGAGTTTTTAATAAACAGTGTGAACTAATGCCCATGTGGAAAGGTAATTGAGAGGGAGCTGGTGTCTGGGCCAGACTGTTATTAAACCCTTATCACAGGTAAAGCTGAAACCCCAATGGCAAGCCGTCCTGTGATTTATCGTGCCCTTCTCATCCTAACTTTAAAGGAAAGGCTACATTTAATAATGAAAAAATCCTGTGACTAAGCTATAAAATAACTGAGCAATTACTTAGAATAATTTATACAGTGCAATACATTGACCTTGCTTTAAGCATAAAATCTACAAAATAACTTCGGTCATAGAACTGTGAACTACTAAAAGTACTAAAGGTTTTAACAATTTTTATTGGGTGGTGCCTGGGGGGACCATAAATACGTGTTACACTCTAATCACAGGGCTTAAGAAAATTCATAATTTTTTATCTTAAAATGGCTTTTTGAGAAAAGTTTTCTCAATTTGGCCAATTGCAAATCACAAAGCCTAATGCCATCACCTTAAAAGGATTACATATAATGTCTACAATATTATTTCACCATGTGTGAGTTCTGCCTCACTCTCTCTTTTGACTCCCAGCCATGGCTGACGAAGGAAAAACGGCAGTAACTTTTCTGTGTTACCTATTTAAGTATTTACTCTTTTGAAAAAAGAAGGCAGTGGGCTTTGTTGCAATGGAAAGGACTGATACTATCTCCCAGCCCACTGAGCAAGGATGCGTCTATTTCTGGATAAGTAAATAACATTCCTCCCCTCAGCAATGCACAGTCAATGTTTCCACTCTCCACGGTGGCTTTCAACAACAAAGTTCAGCCTTTACTCCAAACTGGCATCGAAGCAGGACATAACCAAGCACAACACATGACTCTCACTGCCTTCAAGTTTTCGGTCACTGCAGCTGAGGAAACACATTTTCTCTGAATGCTTTGAATTATGAAATTATTCCCACAAATTGTCTTCCAATTGACTTCAATTCCATCAAATCTAGTAGATTTCTGCAAGATTGGAATATCAGCACGTTGACACCCTGTGGAAACAAATTTTTCAAGGCAGCAACTTTTGACACAAAACTTTTTACTCCTAAGGTTTATCTTGCTTCACCCGATAAAGTGAGCCAGTTTCGCTCCCAAAGGAAAACAAAGCCGCAAGATGTTGTCCCTGGGTCAGCTAAACAAAGATACCTGAGGGAAACCTCACAGACAAAAATACTGACTGAATATTCTGCCTTTATTACCCTTAGAGCTACAGGCATCAGAAAGTTACTGCATAGAAGCAAAAAGGTTTTATGGTATAATGCAGTAAGCCATGATTAAATCTCTCAAATATATCATCTGAAGAGTCACTGAAAGACTGGGGCATAGGATGGGATGTAGAAGATGACTTGGGAGTTCCAGTCCCAGTGATGCCCTTCAGAAAATGAGCCCCAGGGACCTCAGGGAGGTGTGGCTTCCATTCAGGTTATCTGAGATAGGGACTGGCTGGAGTTGCGTGTGGTCACAGAAATGGAGGATGGTTTACTGCAAAAAGGAAAAGAGAGTGTCATTGCTCAGAACGTGGCCCTGTTATCGGGTCTCCAGAAGGCAGAATGAGCTTCAGAGGAACAACACAGCCACGAATAAAAGCCTGATTTTTCACCAGCCCACAGACCAGCAAATCTCCAGCTGAAGCCCAATTCATCCAGGAAAAGCAGCCTTTCTGAGGGCGGATGTAGCTGTCTTCTTCTAGGAATGGGGAATTGCCTTAGGAAAGAGACTAACATTTCCACATTTAACTTCACACACCCTCACAAAACTCTGCTAACACATCATAAAAGTAGTTTCTTTAGGTCCTAGACCTGTAAGGATAGGGAGAAAGATAAAAGAAATCATAGCTAGAAAGCAGAAAGGCAGCTGGTAACTGACTTGGTGGATCAAAGAAAGATGACTCCTCACTCAACCAGTAGTAAGGAAAGTCAATGGCCAATTGGATTAGAGCCATGAGATTCCCAGAGGTTCAGCAGGGAACCCCGAGGCTCTGGAAGTAGGGTGAAGGTGAAGGACTGTTTGGTAGCCACTTTAAAAACAGATAGACTTCCAGATCCACACTCTAGCAAGAAAATGGAAGGCTAGTCTTTTGAGAAGATAAATGTTAATTTTCATTTACATTTCATCAGAGATGGTTATGTTGAAAAGGGAAGATGAAGTGAAACTTTGGATCCTGGAGGCTAAGGCCCCTCCTTCAACCCCAGTAATCTTCTTCCCCTTAGTTCCCAGATCATTGCTAGACCTTCACCCTCTGCAGAAGATTGTAAGGTTTTCTCTGAGGACTCTGTTCGACCCAAGAGAAGAGACAAAAGTCACTAGCATCAAGGATTCCCCAGTACAACCAGTATAACCAGTATAACCATCAAGAATTCCCTAGTACAAGGGGCCGGGCGCGGTGGCTCAAGCCTGTAATCCCAGCACTTTGGGAGGCCGAGGCGGGCGGATCACAAGGTCAGGAGATCGAGACCACAGTGAAACCCCGTCTCTACTAAAAATACAAAAAATTAGCCGGGCGCGGTGGCGGGCGCCTGTAGTCCCAGCTACTCAGGAGGCTGAGGCAGGAGAATGGCGGGAACCCGGGAGGCGGAGCTTGCAGTGAGCCGAGATCGCGCCACTGCACTCCAGCCTGGGCAACAGCGTGAGACTCCGTCTCAAAAAAAAAAAAAAAAAAGAATTCCCTAGTACAATGGCTCAACCAGATCATCCTACATCAGAGCCAAAACAGCAACCCACAAATGTGCTCAGGGCGTCCAATCAGCTTCTTCATCTTCTACTGTTAAATATGACCAGAGATACAAGGAAATCTAGCCATCTGAAAAAAAAAAAAAAAATCACTGACCTGAAGGAAAGAAAAAATAAACACAAAAGCATGCTAAACACATTTTGGAGGATACTATAGAAAAACTATTCAAAGAGAGTACAATGTTCCCCTCAAAAAATTATTACTATGCTCAAAAAGTAAGAGAAAATGTGCAATCATGAAACAAGAACAAGATGTTATTAAAAGTGAACATTCAGAGGACTAAAGCAAGCTCTTGGAAATTTAAAATATGATAGCAAAATGTTGCCTAGTCCCAAGAAACTACAGAAAGTTAGAAAATAAAACTGAATAAACTTCACAGGACGTAGGGCAAACTGTCTAAATTATATAAAATAAAGAAGAAAAGGCCATCAGTGCAGGATGATCATTGTCTGGTAGGAGTTCCAAAAACAGCAAAATGAGAAAATTCCTGCAAGACGAATGTGGGTTGATTGCTACCTTCAAATATATTTTTGTCTGCAGATACCAGTAGCTGCTTCCTTCCCATGACCCCAAACCTAGGTATGGAAAAAGACTTTTGCTTGTACTAGCCCCAAGGTTCTTCAGCCTCCCACATCTTTGTAAACCATCCCTTTATTAAATGCTTCTTGAAGTTCCTGACTAGAACTTGCTCTCTGAATCCAGATGGATAGAGTCCCATGCATTCTGTACCAGCAAGCTCCTGGAGGAGGTGTGTCCCCAAAACAGGGAGGTATTCAAAATCAGAGGAAGGCTCAAGCAAGGAAATGGAGGAGAAACACAGTGAAAAGGGAATCCCCACAACGATGGTAGAGGAAGAGCCCGGGAACATACCGCTGAGCGTAGGGCACGAAAGCAAGGACCCTGCACCGAATCAGGCCCAAAGGTTCTGGAAAAGGTTTCCTCAAGAAGATAGAAGTCTCAGAACACCTAATGTCTGGGAACTTTGAGAAAGGAGATTTGGACAACTAGCAGGGAGTTTGCAGTTAAATTAGTAATCAAAACATACAGACATAAACAAATGAAAAAACAGCTATTAATCCAGAAAAGACAAAAAGTCATACAGGAAAAGAAAAACAACCGTAATTTGCCACAGGCTCAGCACTGAGTGGCAGTTACAGAAGTCAGGATAAATGAAAATGATGAATACTGATCTAGCCGAAAGTGTAACCAATGGGGAGGACGCTTGTGGTGGAAGAAGGAGAAAAGAAAGGAAAGCCCCAGCTTCCATAAATCATGCCTGAAATTAAAAAATTGAATAGTAGCAATAAAAGCATGCTATTTTAAAATATAGAGGCAAAAACCAAAAAAAAAAAAGACAGTAAAGTTTAAAGCTATTATATTTTCTCTGGAAAAGAGGTAATAGGAGGAGGGGATGGCGGATGATTATTTTGTACAATAGACCCTATGGAATTATTTAATTCTTCACACTATACAATGCAACTTAAAAAAAAGAAGAATAATTAAAACTAAATGGAGGTAACAAGAAAAAGAGTAAGGAAGAGTAGGAAGGGAGAGAAGAAGGAAGATAGGGAGGGAGACTTACTTGAGAAATTATTAAACTGGCTCAAAGAAAAATGGTCAGGCACAGAGAGCAGAAATGTGGAGCCACCTCAGCCTAGCTTCCAGAGCCCGCCTCACTGCTCCCTAGCCCTCTCTCCTGCTGGCCACATGCACCAAAACCTGCTGTTCAACTGAATGTGCTCATTGCCTCGTGCAGGGGCCTTTGAAAACAGTATGCTGAGAATAGATAGGGCTCAAGGACAGTATCTCCAATTGAACTTTTAATGAACTCCCGTAGGCGCCAAGAAGGCGGGCAGATAAGGAAGAGCATAGAAACAAGGAACTGAGTAGAAGGTTACATGTGGGAAAAGAAAGTTTGTTTTGCATTGCATTCTTTCTGCTGACATGGGGTTTATGGAGTATAAATAAAGTGAGGCGGAGGCTCTGAGTGCGGCCGCCATGTTCCCTGTGTGTCTTTGTCTTTTGTGTGTTCTTTCATTCTCCACCACCCCCGGCACGGACCCCAACAGCCACGGTCTCCAGCAATCTCTCCTGCCCTCAGCTAAGCCTGGTCCTGGCAACTCCCCACCCCACCCCACTGTGTCCGATTACAATTCTTGGGCACTAAATCCTCCCTGTCACCTGAACACACTTATCTGTTCTCCAACAAGGAGCACACAGCACCTGGAACTTTGTGGAGCTTCTCCCTGAATTTCATATCACAGTTCTCCACCTTCAGCCTTCCCTCCTCCAGAACCCGTGGCTGGTTTTTTAATGCTTACGGGAGTGTCTATTTTATGCAAGTTACTTCCACTGAGCTTAGATTTTGCATATTCAGAAGCAGACGTTTAAAAATGAAAATAAATAAAAATAACTTCTAAAAATATATGTGCTAATTGCTTAGCTTGTACAATTGAACTACTGAACTTTCCACTGACATGCACTGTGGAGAAAGAACTATCCTCTCAGCATTGAGCATCAGCTTATCCAAGCTGGCAAGGAACCCACACAGCTGTGCCCACTTTGTTCTGTTATACAAGATCCCCACAACAGGAGTTACCTTTCACATTTCATCCAGTATTTTCATCCTCAACTGGGTTTGGAATCATAGATATCAGTTCATTTGACCTTCTGGCTCAATCTCTTTTCTACCTCTGAAGATCTAAGTTGATATTGAATCAAATATCTTATTAAAATATGCAGACAAAACTATGGGCACAACTGAAATAATTCCTCATTTGCCACGTTGAGTTCACTGGTGCATCTAACACAGACAGTCTACATTAGACAGGATGTCAGGTGTGGTATCTGCAGAACAATTGGATCTTAATCTCCCCTTTGTTAGACTGACTGACTGCATCACATCCAGGTCCCATCATATAGTTACCGGGCTCACCAATACCATGACTGATAGTCACATCTCCCTCCTATAGTCAACCTGAGAAAAATATATTAAGTGAGATGCAGGAAAATCCCTAGACACAACTTACAAGGACTAAGAGTCCTCATAGCACAAGCTGATAAATGAGGAAGCCTAGGAAAGTACTAGCAAGTGTGGAATCCAATGAGACTGTACAACTAAGAAGTGTGCTTTACCCGCCTCAGAAAATCAGAAAAGATTGCCTCTTCCTTTAGCCTTCCACAGACTTAAAATAATCATCTGTGAAACTGTAATGTCAAGGTTATGTTGTAAAAAGCAGAAATTACTGCCTACCCCACAGAAAGGAGTGTGATACAGAAGACTGGGTGCTAATGACACTGAAAGGAGAAGTGAGCTTTGGGCTGAGTCTCCAGGAAGGACCCCCAGCAACCCTGCAGAGCTATCCAGAGGGATGGCCTAGTCCGGAAGGCAGGAATCTGGAGACGACTGCCTTCTCTCCCCACCCAAGCTGGTGGCCAGACACTGCTGGCTGGCTGAGCCTGCCAGCAGGGGGACACCACCTTCTCTGCTCTGACTTCCAGTCCCTACATAAGAGAATCTAATTGGTGAGGCCAATGTACATCTGGAAGCTCAGGCAGAAGAGTATCTGGGAAACATAGTTTTGGGCTCTGCAGCCGCTACAGTCCAGGAAGATGCAACCGAAGGAGGAAACAGGTGCCCAGCCTTCGTCTACCCCAGATAAGGTAATTAATCTAATGCACCTGATTTAGCACCCAGGCCTCAAAGCTCGGCTTTCCCAGCAGCCTGTACCTGTAGTTCTATTTCAGGAAGACTTCCTCGCCTCTGTCAGCTGAGACACAGAGCTATACCCACAGCTGAAGGTGCAATAAATACAATAGCTGAATACCTACAATGGCTGAAACCACTGTGTGTGTGCTTTCACGCTATTGTGTGCGCAGTTTAAAGTTTCAGAAGCTGAGAAACAGAAAGGTAAAATAGTGTGCCCAAGGTCACAGATCACAAGTAGTTGGAGAAATCTGGCTCCATAATTTCTGATCTTTCTCTCTAAACTATATAAATGAAAACCATATAAAAATTTATAGTCCAGACTCTCTAGCCTGAGAGATGTAGGAAACAGGCCTAGGGCTTTTATCAATGGCCCTGTGCCATCTAATTTCAATGATCTGATATCTCACTAAGCCCATATCTTAATCTCCTGCCTGGGGGGACCTAGATGGAAAGAGGATTCAGGGCTTGCTGCCACTGCCCTCTCTCCTTGTTCCCAGAAAGCATTAGACCGCAGAAGGTGGGATGCTAAAAGAGAGATCGAGGATCCGCATGTTCGCAAGAGGTGTGGGCCTCCCCACCGACAAGGATTAATGCACCATAAATAAAGACTTGGCCCCTCCCACAGGAACTTGAGTTGTGCCTTTTTCTATGCCTGGCCCTTTCAGAAGTCCCGACTCAGAAACAGAGGGTGGAGGAAGACGTGAGATGCCCACAGTAACAGCAGCAGGAGCTCCTGTTCCCGCAACGGAGCCTCGGACCTCGGCACCCAGAGCTTGACTCCAAGCTACACCAGGCTCGATCCCTACCCACCGCTCAGCAAAAACTCCAGTCCTGCAGACCTCCGTCCAGAAATCCCGCCTATCCGGGATCCCAACTAGATCCTGCCTTTGCCAGACCCCACCCTGACACCAGTGTGTTTCGCTCAGTCTGTGTTCAAACCGTTGCCCTCCCAAACCTGTCACCGCCCCTCAAGGACAGGATGTGGGTACACACGACAGAATTTCTCTCACCTCTCAGTTTTCAGTGTTCAATTCTTGCAGCTTCCATAACTGCGAAGATAGGCGTGCAGACCCTTGAGAGAGCAAAGAAATAAAGTTCCCATAAGAATTTGATCTTAAAGTGTTTCAGTTTTCCTCAAAAAATGTAATGTTAAAATTTCAGAGAAAAACTTTAAGACTTTTCAAAGGCTCATTGGACATCAAATAGTTCTTATATAACTGGCTACAATATAAATTAATCAAAATTACATACCTTTAATGTCCCTTAAAATGCAGTATTTCATATGTTTAGGGGTCCATTGAACCTTCAGAATAAATCTGGGCAAGGAGAACTAAGAAAGGACAAATTAAGGGGAGATTTGGGGAAGAGTGAAGACGGCAATTTTGGGGAGAGCATAATACGGAGAGAGAACGGAACAACTCAATGGTGAGAAAAGGGAATGGAAGCAGAGAGTAAGGATGGTGGCAGGAGGCAGGCAGAAAGGGATGGACAAAAAAAGACCCTTGCTCACCACCGATCCCCAAAACACACACACTCACACACTCACTCTCACACACTCCCCCACACATTCACACATACACTCACACACTCCACACACACTCCCTACACACACCCTCACACACACACACTCACTCTCACACACTCACACAGACTCCCCCCCACACACATTCATACACTCACTCCACACACTCTCCCACACATACACTCCCCACAAATACTCCCACACACTCTCTCACACACACACTCCCACACACTCCCACCACACACTCATACACACACACACTTCCACACACACACTCCCCAACACACTCCCACAGTCCCACAAACACTCCCACAGTCCAACACACACGCACACACACACTCACACACTCCCACACACTCACATACACGCACTCCCACACACACACAGTCCCACACACCCCCCTAAACCCCCACACACACACTTCCACACACACACAAACTCCCACACACAGTCCCACATACTCCACACACACTCCCCACACACACTCCCACACACACTCCCATACACATACCCTCACACAAACACACATACTCCCACACACTCCCCCTCACACATACTACTACATGCACTACTCCACTGGCACACACACACATTCCCACACACTCCCACATACACACACTCACGCATACACATTCACGTGCACACTTGCTTACACACACGCACAATCACACACACATACTCGCAAACACACACCTGTTCATGCATGCGCGCACACACACGCACAGTCTCACTTTGCCTGTTTCCAAACTTATGCTTTCCAGCCAGTGGGTCCTCACCGTTAAGTTAATGTGGAAAAGCCTATTCTGTCATCCAGAGAACCCACAGCTTGGTGCCTGTTCTGTGGAGACAGCGGCCTCGGCGCCTGCCCTGTGGAGACAGCGGCCTCGGTGCCTGCTCTGTGGAGACAGCGGCCTCGGCGCCCGTCCTGTGGGGACAGCGGCCTCGGCGCCCGTCCTGTGGGGGACAGCGGCCTCGGCGCCCGCCCTGTGGAGACAGCGGCCTCGGTGCCTGCTCTGTGGAGACAGCGGCCTCGGTGCCTGCTCTGTGGGGGGACAGCGGCCTCGGCGCCCGTCCTGTGGGGGGACAGCGGCCTCGGTGCCTGTTCTGTGGAGACAGCGGCCTCGGTGCCTGCTCTGTGGAGACAGCGGCCTCGGCGCCCGTCCTGTGGGGGGACAGCGGCCTCGGTGCCTGCTCTGTGGAGACAGCGGCCTCGGCGCCCGTCCTGTGGGGGACAGCGGCCTCGGTGCCTGTTCTGTGGAGACAGCGGCCTCGGTGCCTGCTCTGTGGAGACAGCGGCCTCGGCGCCCGTCCTGTGGGGGACAGCGGCCTCGGTGCCTGTTCTGTGGAGACAGCGGCCTCGGTGCCTGCTCTGTGGGGACAGCGGCCTCGGCGCCCGCTCTGTGGGGGGACAGCGGCCTCGGCGCCCGTCCTGTGGGGGACAGCGGCCTCGGCGCCCGCTCTGTGGAGACAGCGGCCTCGGCGCCCGCTCTGTGGGGGACAGCGGCCTCGGCGCCCGTCCTGTGGGGGACAGCGGCCTCGGCGCCCGCTCTGTGGAGACAGCGGCCTCGGCGCCCGTCCTGTGGAGACAGCGGCCTCGGTGCCTGTTCTGTGGAGACAGCGGCCTCGGTGCCTGCTCTGTGGAGACAGCGGCCTCGGCGCCTGCTCTGTGGGGGACAGCGGCCTCGGCGCCTGCTCTGTGGGGGACAGCGGCCTCGGCGCCTGCTCTGTGGAGACAGCGGCCTCGGCGCCTGCCCTGTGGAGACAGCGGCCTCGGTGCCTACTCTGTGGAGACAGCGGCCTCGGCGCCCGTCCTGTGGGGGACAGCGGCCTCGGCGCCCGTCCTGTGGGGGACAGCGGCCTCGGCGCCCGCCCTGTGGAGACAGCGGCCTCGGCGCCTGCTCTGTGGGGGGACAGCGGCCTCGGCGCCCGTCCTGTGGGGGGACAGCGGCCTCGGTGCCTGTTCTGTGGAGACAGCGGCCTCGGCGCCCGTCCTGTGGGGGATAGCGGCCTCGGTGCCTGTTCTGTGGAGACAGCGGCCTCGGCGCCTGCTCTGTGGGGGACAGCGGCCTCGGCGCCCGCTCTGTGGGGGACAGCGGCCTCGGCGCCCGCCCTGTGGGGGACAGCGGCCTCGGCGCCCGTCCTGTGGAGACAGCGGCCTGGGCGCCCGTCCTGTGGAGACAGCGGCCTGGGCGCCCGCTCTGTGGGGACAGCGGCCTGGGCGCCCGCTCTGTGGGGGACAGCGGCCTCGGCGCCCGTCCTGTGGGGGACAGCGGCCTCGGCGCCCGTCCTGTGGGGGACAGCGGCCTCGGCGCCCGCTCTGTGGGGACAGCGGCCTCGGCGCCCGCCCTGTGGGGACAGCGGCCTCGGCGCCTGCTCTGTGGAGACAGCGGCGTCGGTGCCTGTTCTGTGGAGACAGTGGCCTGTGACTTTCAGCAAGTTGCTGACAATTTCATCACCTGATCTCTATGTAGTCAGGTGGTCGGTTTCCAGGCATGCAAGTTCTGGGAGTCCCTGAACAAAGAGAAGAAGATACTGAGGCAGAAAACGAGAACCAAAGTACAAGAAGTGAAGATTAAAGTTCATCTTGCTCATCCAAAATCCTGGCCTCGTGAGCACTTGAGGTGGAGTCCAAGGAGCTCCCCCACTAGGGTAAGAGGTAACGTTTCCGTTTCCATTAGGAACAGTAATGGAAAGTTGGATCTGCCCCGGCAGATCATTCTGCAAATACCCGCTGCTCTCCTCCAAAGGAAGCCTCCCAAAAAAGGGGGAGGCGGGAGGCTGACGAGGTCCTGGGTGTCTTCCTTCCCCCCAGGTCTTCTGAATTGCTGTCACCAGTGCCCAGCGGCCTCTTTTTCTGGCCTTCCCTCCAGGTCCTGACTGTTGCTAGCAATCCCCTGCTATGATAGTGAAATCAGAAAAAACAGTGTCTGAGACGGGGGCGAGTCAATTTAGAGGCTTACTTTGCCAAGACTGAGGATATGCCTGGGGAAAAGAGACACAAGTCACAGTTGGGTCTGTGACCAGCACTCTGTTTTCAAGGAGGATTTTGAGGTCTTCAGTATTTAAAGGGGAAGAGTAGGCAGGCGGCAAAGAAAGGAAAAAGAAGAGAGGGAAGGTGTAGTCACATTTTTTGAGGCTTTGATTAGCAGTCAGTGAACCCACATGTCACACATGAAAAGGAGGAGGCAGAGGAACAATCAGTGACGTACTCACTTCGCGTGAGTAAATCTGCACTTTACCTGAGGTAAAATAAACACGGAGTAGAGGAAGAAGCTAAATATGCAGTTGTCTCAAGTGGGCGAGGGACTGTGCCTCATCTCCTCCTGTCCTGTACCATGAAGATAAATTGTTAGTTTACTTCGCCAAGGTGAGGGAGGCCACCTGGGGAGACACGCGGCCTTCTTTGGCTGTTTAGGAACAAAAGGAGAAGTAGGGGTTTTTTTTGCATGACTCAGTTTTCCAAGTTCAACTTTTCTCTTCGGCATAGTGAGTCTAGGGTTCTGAGATTTTATTTTCTTTCCGCAATAGAGGTCATCATAGGTGACCATCGGTGATGATGAGGATGATACAATGATGGCGATGACAGCCCAAAACTGGAATAACTAGGAGAGAAAAGAGAAAAGGGAACAGAAAAGAGAAGGGAGAAAAGAAGGAGGAATAAGGAGGAGCAGGAAAGAAGACGCTACGTCCCAGTAGCTGTGCTAGCTGCTTTGTTTCTTCTTCTTTCCCAAATATTTATGGCATGCCTGCCTTCCACTCAGCTTCTTAACAGTGGGGTTGAGGCCAACAGGGCACTCCCCGCCCGGGAGTTTACAGAGTAGGAAGGATTCCAACACCTCCTGATGCAGCATGGCAGGTGCCATGATAGAAATGCACAAGTTACACAGATACTCCCGGCCAGGGAGGGTGGTCAGGGACCTCGCCACATTTGTGTGCTACAACGATGAGTGGATCAGAGGGTAATGAGGTCATGGAGGCTGGATGACCATGAACAGATGATCATAAGAAACAAGGCGAGAAATGTTGGTGGCCTGGGCAGAAGAGGTGAGGAGACGGCGCTGCCTTGATGGAATTTCATGGCTAAAGTGGTGTGGAGGGCACAGCGGAGAAGGAAGTCAAGGACAAACTCCATGTGTGTGGATTGGCCTTCTGGGTGGATGGTGATTCCATTTACTAACTTTTAGGGCACACAAGAAGTGGTACAGGCTGAGGATGAGTTCAACTTTAGACAGATGAGTTTTAAATACACAGGTGTCAATTAATTGTCAATAACCAATGGATAAGTGAGCATATAAGGCTGCTGTTGTGAATGGAAAGAGATGCAATAGAGGAAACAAGATTTCTGTGCAGCACAGAGGGCTCAGGTACGGTCGGAGATCATAATAGTGGCTCCAGACTTCACAATGGCCCACACTGTCTCTTCCGATTCTTTTTCACCCTGGTGGTATGTATCATTATCCTCGTTATTAGGAGAAAAGGCTCAGAAAGCTTAAGTAATGTGCTTCAACTCTCACAGCTTGTCTAGACCAAGAATTAAGCCTAAAGCCGAGGTTCCAGCCACCACACCGTGCTGTCTTCAGTCAAGAGTTAACTCATCTGTCCCCAGAGCAATTGTCCTGAAGATGCGAAGATAATGATGATGAAATGTGTACCTCTCCTTCAAGAAAATCAGAGTCTAGTGGAAAGGGAGCGACATATAAGTAGCCCCTAAATTGTGATGTGCTAAAAATAAAATAGTGTCACTATAAATATGATACAAAATCCTCAACACTACAGAAAAGTGGAGTCAAGGGAACAGAGAGAAAACTGAGCTGGGATGGATTATTTGAATTGAACTTAAAGAATGAATGGGCCTCACATATAACCTGGATGACACTTTTTTTTTCATATTTACAAATGAGGAGAAAAGACTAAACCAAAAACCCCTGCCAACCAAGACATGCCTTTCCGTAGAGTCCCCGACTGCTGGCTTCAAGCGCAGCCCCACTGGGAGCTCGTTCCGGGACTTAACCCCACGGTCACTGCTGCTTCGCTCCTTTCGGGTGACACCACGTGGATGGTCACAAGCCAGCTGACTCGGTGACGTCACACCGTCTGAGGCTTCCTGTGCACAACCCCCCCGGGTGAAGGTGCCTTCTCCAAACCTAGTGAGACCATTTGTACATCGAAGGGATGCTTCCCCTGAACATTGAACATCATCCTGTTAGAGTGACCATCTCTTGCTTCAAACTGAGGTTCCCCCATATTCCACATAGGTCTGTTCATTACTTGTTAATGGTTGTCATTTATTATCCCCTTGTTTATTACTGAAATTATGATTCATTAAGTAATAAAAATCTGCTTGGAACATGCTGACGGAATAAGCACTGCATTGTTTCTAAGGGTCTTTGCTGATTTTATTGTGCTCTTTTAGGAAACATTTTTTTCTCTTCTATTGAAAAAGAACCATCTCTATGAAACTACGTGGACCAATAAATTATTCATGTATAGCCATCATTTTAGGTTAAAAATTAGCTGATTTAGAAGCATTTGTATTGTCAAATTTTATTGCTTTCCAGTTCTGGTCATAGTTTCCGTCACCCCCTGCAACTCACACTGTGCGTCACAGCCAAGGCCGTGGCCTGGAGCGCTCCCTTTGCGCCAATCTCCTCCTCACGCGGCTCCCTGTTGCTGTCACGTCTCATCCACACTCCTCCTTGATTACCTTGATAGTAACACCCATCAGCTGCCTCAGACTCACTTCTGCTACTCTCCACATGAACTCCCTGCTCCAGTCAGCAGGATTTCTTAGCAAGCCACATCTTCTCTCCACCCGACACCTACAGGCAAGTGCCAGGCTGGTTTCCAGCTCTTGGCCTCTGCTCCTTTACTCAACCAGTATTTATTACCTGCTACTATTGGCCAGGCCTGGTGAAGGATGTTCACATACATAAGACAGGCTCCCTGCTTCTCAATAGCTTATACCTCTAACAGGCAAGACAGGATATCCAGGTAAATAATTTCCAGAGTATGACAGGTGTTCCAACAGGCATAGGCAAGCTCCACTTCAGTGTCCAAGGACAGAACTCTAGCCTGCGTGATACACCATCTTACACCTGCTTAGGACTTCCACGTGGGCTGGCATCATCTCTCCGTTACACTGCACACTTCCAGGGCAAGGACTCTGCCTCCAGTTTCTTTGTTTACCTCGCTATACCTAGCACGCTGGGAAATGACTAGGCATGTGTATTTTATCTAAACTTGCAGTATAATACATGCATTTTATAAAGATTTGAGTTCAGTTTTCTCTCTGTCGTCTTTTTCTGGAGACAGGGTCTCGCTCTGTTGCCCAGGATACAGAGCAGTCCTGCAATCACGGCTCGCTGTGGCCTCCTCCTCCTGTGCTCAAGCCATCCTCCTGCCTCAGCTTCCCGTGTAGCTGGGACTCCAGGCAAGTGCCACCATGCCTGGAAAATTTGTAAAGTTTTGTCTAGAGATGGTTTCTCACCGTGTTTCCCAGGCTGGTCTCGAATATCTTGCCTCAAGCAATTCTTCCACCTCAGCCTCCCAAAATGTTGGGATTACAGGCGTGAGCCGCCATACCCAGATAGAATAAAATAAATTTTTAATAAAAAATTTCAGTTTTTAATGGGAAAATATGGATTATATGTGTCTAATAAAAATAACCTTCAATTGATATGGTCCTAATTTTTAAAAAATGACTATGTGCTTCATTCATTCATTCATTCGTTCATGCTCTCAACAATTGTATACTGAAGACTCACTATGATGTAAGTGCTGGTATTTTCTCTACGAGGAGAACAAAATGGCCGACTCTTAAGAGCTTCTGTTCTGAGAACTCTCCAAGAGAAACAGAACCTTGACCTCCGAGGGCTTCCTGATGTCCCAGAGCCACTGCATCACTAAGTTGGGGCCACCATGCACAGCAGGTTATTCTAAGCGTTTCCAAACTATGAATATATATTTTGTCCTTTGTATTTTTTCTCCATTTATTTAAAAAAACTTTGGTGTGCTCTGCAACCTGTGGACTGCCCACAGGTCAGTTCCAGCACGGACCACAAGCAGCAGGGTGCACAGAGCACAAACTAAATGGGGCCCACCACACCCCGCTTTGATCACCCTGTATTTTTCATGACTTTTCCCAAAGAGATACAAGCATTAGTGGTTCTGAACTACTTATGCCCATAGCATTTTATTACAGTTTGCCCATATAAAGAGTTTTTGTGGCCCGTATAAGGCAGCAACCTCTTTGATGAGTAACACGGAGCATTTCCATCCACCCAGACCCAGCACTGACCTAGAACACAAAGAGAATTCACCAAAGGCTTTCACCAGGATTCTCTGTTCTTCTGTCTTTCGAGAACTCATTTCTCTTAAAAGAAAGAAAATTATCAGCGGTTTCCACTTAAATCAAATGGCCAGACAGCTCCCAGGAAAAATCTAGAGAGAGGAGGATGATTGGAGAGGCGGGGAGAGAGGACATAAACCTCCTTCCTTCTTATCAAGTCCCAATACTCTGCTGCTCAAGAGAATTTGGAATCTCAGACGTACTTGATACAAAAATGACATAATTCATTTATTGACAGCCGGGTAAAATTGTATCCTAACACAATCACAGAGAGTGCTGTTGTTGCTTGACCAAAACAAAGCAACACAAAAGCATTTGGCCAATGAGGTTCACAAGACGCAAGAGACTGCAAGCCAGTGAGTGACAGGCTTACGTTCCAGCCTTGCACTGTGACGGCACGGGGTCAGATTTTCAGAGAAGTTTTGACAAAGAATTTCACTGCCCTCACAATACATTTTATGCCTCTCCTAAGAAATGCTTAATGTCTGCAATTATGTGTCAGCCACCCAAAAGCTTCAGAACGCTGTGCAACCGCAGCATGCAAAAGCAAACAGGTCAGAAAAGAAAACTGGGACGTCCCTGCCCTCTGCTGGACACACAGGCGAAGGGCGATTCCTGCACTGACTCCTGGCCCTGTGAGGAGTTCAGCCTGCAGCTGGCAACACTTTCCTCAGTACAAGAGATCTTGAGTGCACAAGGCCTAATCTGGGCCATGGACCCTGCATGACTCTTGTGACTGCTTAGATAAACTACCTGTCACCAAAGGATGAATCAAAGCAAGGAATGATGTTGAAATATTTTAATTGTTCTTTTTAAGTAGTTGCTATATATTTAAGAAAAAGCTTTTGTCAATGTGAAAAATGTCTATTGACATGTATTCATAACAGTAAACAATTACCACTGCGGTATGTGAAAAGAGATGGGGACACCAGCACGAACAGGAAAAGCTGTCCTGTCTCACAGGTCAGTGATGTTACAGTTCATTGAGGACACATGTCTGTCATTTGTAGATTTGTTTTGTTTTTGAAAACAACACCTTCTTTAAATGTTGTCTTGAAGTGCACACTGCCATGGGGTTGACTTAGTTTGAAAATCACTTTGTATTTGGCATCAGGCCTAGACAGTGACAGCAGCCTAGACACACAGAATGAAACCATGTGAAGGCAGTCTAAGTTCAAAAACAAACCAAAAAATTAGTGTGTCCCGTTTCCAGTCGTAATAACTTTACCTTAAAAACAAGCCGCTGACTCTCGGGAAGTCTGCTTCCCTCCAAATCCAGCTCATTTGGAAGGGAAGGAAACAACATTTACTGAGCCCCTCCCCTCTCTGCCCATGCACCAGCCCGTGCAGCCTCCCAACTACACCGTGGGGTGCCCAGGATTACCTATATGTTACAGGTGAGCTCACGCTCAGTACGCACATGCAGAAGAGGCTACTAGCAGTCACACACGGCCCACCTTGTCTCAGACTTGGAGACATAATCTCACCTGCACATCCCCGACAAGACCCTTCTGAGCTAGGTGGAAAAAGGTAAGTCAAGGAGAGAACACCCAGAGCCTTAGCCCTGAGGCTGCACTGACATATCCACCATCTGGGACAAATCCTAACGTTTCCATGCCTCAGCAGCTACATCTGTACAAGGGGACACCCAGTCTCACACTCGCCTCACTTCATGGTCATTGAGACGACTTATTTTTACCAGTGGGTTCTTGGTACTGAGAAGTATTTAAATTAGTCTTTTCTAAAGTGGTTGTGTGGGCCAGGTACAGTGGCTCACACCTGTAACCCCAGCACTTTGGGAGGCTGAAGTGGGGAATCACCTGAGGTCAGGAGTTTGAGACCAGCCTAGCCAACAGGGTGAAACCCCATCTCTACTAAAAATGCAAAAATTAGCCAGGTGTGGTGGCTCAGACCTGTAATCCCAGCTACTCAGGGGGCTGAGGCGGGAGAATGACTTAAACCCAGAGGCGGAGGCTGCAGTGAGCTGAGATGGCGCCTCTGCACTCCAGCCTGGGTGACAGAGAGAGACTCCATCTCCAAAAATAATAATAGTAACAATAAAGCAGTTGTGTAGAACAGAGTGAAGAGCTCTGACTCTAGAAGTCCACAAGGCTGGGTAAGATCCAGGCACTGCCACTTGCCAGGTCCACCACCTGTGACACTCCAAGCCCAAGTTCCCTGCCGTCACCCACAAGAGCAACAGGCCTCTTCCCGTGTTGTTCTGCGAATCCCAGTAGCCTGACCCATGGCCAATGCTCAACAAATGCCCATTCATTTCTCTCTCCCCGGTTCCCTTCAAACGTGGTGAGTTCTTTATGTAACTGGAGAATTTAAATCCATCTGGGGAAAGAAACTAGATGATTCTCAGGGTCCTTCCAGTCCCGTACTTTTAAAACTATTGCTAGGCCAACTTTTTCTAAGTGCTTAGGAAATAGTGGAAAGTAAGAAAAGGCCATTTCTATGATCCTCACATGATTACAGAAGCCAGAAGTAGCTTAAAAGGTACCCAGTTCTGTTCTCCTACTTTACAAATAAATTTTGACCTAATGGACTCACCCAAGAAGAAACCAAGACTAGAATGTAGCCCAGTGGGGTCCAAAAGATGTAATAATGCTGCTTTAACCCACCCCTCACCAGAAACTTCTAGAGCACACACGGCTGCACCCTCTGAGCTATGTGGGGTAGGCAGGGTGAGCCTCACCTCAAATCCCAAAAGGCAGGATGGAAAGCAGGCAGCACGCCTGATTAGAGAAGCTCCTACAAACCAGCATCATGACAGGGACTTTTTCTTTAATCTGGGTAGAAATAAGCCTATAGTCTTAAACACATTTTTTTAAATACGCAGGATTTATCTTGTGTTGGGAATGTGAATAGATTAACAAAAGCTGCATTTGAGCACATTAATGTAAAACTAACTAACTAAATAAAATCAGAAGGTCTGAAGGAAAGGGAAATACCTTGGAAGAGCTGGGAATGAGATGTTTAACCACAGATGTGCCCACCCCTTGGCTTCCTGTGCTCTGCACCCCCCACCTTTGAGGGACATTTGAGGCAGTGCTCATCCAGTCATAGCGTAGGCCTTCTGCCTCATTTCATTCCTTTCTGAATTCCTTATAGTATTAAACAGCCCTGCCTGCGACCTCCAGTGTGGTGTGACCACAGCTTAGTCCTTGCCCACATCCAGCATCCTCAGCATCCCATCTCCTGGAATATATTACAAAGATACTTCACTCTCAACTTAGTTTGTCTTTCAGAAATGAATACAAACAGCACCTTCTCTGATGTAATTAGACTGGGCTGGAGCTTGGATCTGTCTCCCAGGTTTAACAACAGGTG